CGCCCCTCCCCTCGGGCTGGCAGGTCGCCGTCGCGGCGGCGGCGCCTGGGCTCCGGTGGTCCTCCAAGGCCCCGTCTAAAACGTGGCTCGGTTTTCTCGCGGGTAGCGGCCCGTTGTCCCTCGCAAAGAGAGGCGTTCGGCGGAGCCGCGCCGGTTCGCCCCCCGTTACTCTGCGAGCTTGTGAGTCTCCTTTAATGCCAGGTGGTGCCTTCCCGCTTCTCGGCAGGGATTTAACAGCAGTGCTGTAAGGAGGGCCGAGACTTCGTTATTTTTGTACGATACGTGGTAGCGCGTTTGCTAGTGTACTGTGGAGTAGCATTGTAAATAAAAGGGAACGGTAGCTGTCAGGATAAACGAATACCGTATTTTCGTTCCAGTAAATTTCTTCTCTGGGTTTTGTCTCTTTGCTCCGAAAAAGCGTCATCTGCTTCGTGAAATTACGAATCCCTGGGCTACGTTAGACTACCGATGTAAAACTAATAGTTTTGTTTAAAATTTGTAATTCAGTGAGGTTTTTCCAGCATTTTTGAAGATGTTTGTTAAAATACCATACGTAACGTTGTAGTGTACGAAAATACTAATTCAGCTGAAAGGCATATACTGTTATGTTAAAATTCATAAAAATTGCGATAAGAGCATGCTGTTGTTTCAGTGACTGTCCTCATATGTGATACAAACATACAATTTTGAATATCCGTTTTATGAAGAAACAGCTGATTACTTCTTCAGCTGAACTTGTTACTCGGATTTAAAGTAAACAGGAAGGAAGCCGTACCTCCCCTTTCAGAAAAGGTTGGTTAACAAACCCAGAATTCCCTGTGCCTCACTCCAAATGAAGAAATAAAACTGTGAAGTTGGAACAGTTTCCGGATGGTTGATATTTCTGGGACATCTTGACGATTTTTTGATGGTGGGTGTCACTGGAGACAGACGTTACAGTGGCTGCGTCTGGACTTGGATCACGCCTGGTAGGTTTGGAGAAGCAGAGTGGAATCAGACCAAGCAGCTGAACGCCTGGCGATGGAAGCGAGCTGTGCTGAAGACACGTTCTAAGTTAAATGGAATCCATGTCGTCTCTTTCTCCCGGAAAGGACAACTTTGTCTGGAGTACTGGAAAACAACCCTGCTTTTGATTTTCCTCATATTTCTTATTTTTCATTTTAGGTTGTCTGTCTGGTCTCCCACAAATGAAAAAAATATCTACCTCGTATGAAGAGAGAAGGAAGCAAGCTACCGCCATTGTTTTGCTTGGAGTGATTGGAGCAGAGTTTGGAGCTGAAATTGAACCTCCAAAACTTTTGACTCGGCCACGCAGTTCTAGTCAAATTCCTGAGGGATTTGGTTTAACTAGTGGTGGATCAAATTATTCCTTGGCAAGGCATACATGTAAGTATCCTGGGTACTATTTTCCCTTGTTTTGATTTTTTTTTTTTAATTATGTTATTGTTTTACTTATATTTCAGGACAAATCTGTTCATTAAGAATTTCCTTTCGGAGAACAAGATAGGGAGAAGATATTTTGGACATACAAATAAGCAACACCATAATAAGTTGCCAAGAAATTAGTACTGATACAGATAGCTGAGCGGAATTATGGAGTCTGGGACTAGGTAGTGAGATCTGCAGTGGTACTGGTGAGAGGGAAGTACCTGTCTCTGG